ATATAACCACCCGTTCCCAAACAGTACCGTTATGAAAGAAGGAAAGAAAATAAATTTATTTATCGAAAAAGGACGCACACAACAATAAATTTAACAAAAAATAAAAGAAATGAAAAAAAAATGAAAATAATACACACAAGAGTAAAGAAAACAAAACAAAATCTGTACATAAAAAACTATGGCGATATAAAAACAAAAGAAAAATAAATCAATTTAAAGGAAAAGAATTGTACGCCCTATTATCGGTAAATTAGGTCAGCAGTCAGCGTTATGCTGTGCCGTAAGTCAACACCCCAACACAGCGCTGATTTTCAGTGCTAACATTCATACTTCATGATCGTTCGATGCCGTACTGACCCATATACAACAATATAATAATAGTTATTAAAAAAATTAAGATGCAATAATGAAAGACTAAAATATTAACAAATATGACTTTAACAAGTACGAGGCACATTAACAATATGGCGGATATACGATCTTCACTAACAGTCATCTCTGTATTAGAAAAGTTGTATAAGTAGGTACTAGTAAAAACGATATAAGCTTCGAAGCGATAAAAAAAACATGACAAAAGCTCTCGACGGTCCAGACTCCGAATGAGCCACGAGGTAGCGTCACAACCAAGGTCAAGGTCGACCCCCCAAACCTCCCCCTCCCCCCGGACGATTATTGGGGTGGCTCACCCCAAGCGGGGAGGCGGTTATGACGCCCCTGTCTAACTGTACTATAGACTGTAGACAAGTTAAACGCGATCAGACTAGCCGTAGCACCCGTCTCCGTCCGCATGAGCAGGAGAGTGGATGTTTGCGAGAACTCCGTATTGGCTCAGTGGACAGTGGGCGTATCTCGCGCTTGAGTGTGCGGCTTCGATGCCGACTGCTCGAAAATAGCTATGAACATGGGTTTTTAATGCGAGTCGTTTTAATGTTGTTTGCGTGTTATACATTAAAGTTAATGTTTTCATACAAAAGAAAGTCATTAAAAAACATCTCATAAATAATGTTTAGTAAAGCCATCTAAAGACAATTTCTTGGATTGAAAAAAATGGAAATTAGTGAAGTATGGACGGACGAAAACTTTCCGCTGTGGGAATCGAACCCACGTTTTTCGGATTCGCGTCGAGATGATTTAACCACTAAGGTAAACGGCTGATTGCCCTAATACCCACGGTATAGAAAGTTTATATTGGAAACCTTTGCCCAGCTGTGGGACATGTATAGGCCTGTTACGTTACCTTACTCTTTTCACTTTTATGTCTGAAATAGTTCATGTTTAGTTACAGTGTTATAAAGAAGGACGAATTTACAAACACACCATTGCATGAAAATATCTTGTATTGCCTAATACTACAATTTGTAAAAGCCACCCTAATGGCAAGCACCTATTATAATGTCCAAGAGTACATTAAGGACAAGGATGTGTGGAAATGACTCTTGCTCTGCACTTGCAAGCCCCTGGCTGCTGCTGATTTTATCTATACAGATAAATAAAATTGGAGTGTCTGTTTGTAATATTAAAATAACCGCGTTTTACTAAATGCATATGGATGTGTACACGATACTAATACCAAAATATCATTCTTTACAATTTTTGTCTGTCTGTCTGTCCAATGTTCCGGCTAATCTCTGAAACCGCTGGACCGATTTGGATGGTACTTTTACTGACAGACAGCTGATGTAATAAGGAGTAACTTAGGCAACTTTTATTTTTAGGTTTTTTTATTTTAAATTCCACGCGGATGAAGTCGCGGGTACGGCTTAGTACCTATCTAAATAAGTTTGTATCACAAAAACAAGACCGTACAGTTTCGCCGGTTCTCCTCTGTTCAGGTCTAGTTTAGTGGACCGGTGATAGTTTTTTTTTTTTTCAAAAGACAAAGATTGATGAAGACAATTCGACTGTATTCATTTTTATGTCGGTCACCTCATAACATTCTACTGGGTAGAACCAATTTCGATGATTGTTTTTTATTTGAAACCTGGTGCTTCCCATGTGGTCCAATATTAATTTCGTCGGTATTGGATCTTGGGCTCCGGAGATACTTAGGGAACTCCTGAAAATCCATACCAATACTATAAATGCGAACGTAACTCTGTCTGTCTGTCTCGCTTTCACGCCAAAACTACTGAAGCGGTTTAAACGAAATTTGGTACACAGATAGTTTAGAGCCAGATAAAGGACATTTTTGATTGGAAAAAGGTTCTTAAAGGGGATAGATATTTATTTAAGGGCTGCAACGCGAGCGAAGCCGCGGGTGAAAAGCTAGTTAATTAAAAAATTTATACAGAGCGAGGTATTTGAAGTCGGCTGTATTGTTCGTTAGTAAAAAGAACTTGTTTGACGATCATTAAGATATTAAATTAAGCATAAATTGAATAAATAAATTTTAACTTTGACTGAACACAAACTAACGCGTAGCGTTGGGAGTGTTTAATTAACCGTAACAGGTTCGTTGGGACTTTTTAATTAAGCGTAAAGGTTCGCAAAGCAGTTTCATTTAACGAAACTTTTACCCGTAGTACTTTTAACCGTGATAAGACCACGCAACAGTCTTCCTTGATATGATATATAGTTGATAACGTGATAATTCACCGCTTAGAATTCATTGGCTCCGGCACCGGGAACTCGGGTTGCTCGAGTGTATTGGATTGAAAATTAGGAAAGCCCAATCCTCCGCCCGTTTCAGTTTGAAGAAAACAAAATGCAATAATTACCACCGGCTTAGTTGTATTATTTGGGAAATTCAACATAAGTGTAGTGAACTTATTTTTCAAAAGCTAGCCGCTCTGTAGTAACGGAATGTAGTGCCGTCTAATCACGCGATATAATCGTTGCGAACGCTAATTATAACTGTTTATTCGCCAAACTTACTTTGAAATAACACAGCTACGGAAACTAAACGAGATGGACACACTGCTACCGTGGTTAAAATTGCACCGCACATCGGAATCCGTATTAAATCTAGCCTTCATTTATTATGTCCGGGTGAGTACCACGTCTTTACAGAAGATCGACGTGAAGTGGGAAGTGTTATACTTCTGCGTTTCGTCTCGTGAGTGAGGTAGCCGGGGCTCACTTTGTAAGGTGGCAACGCGACCCTACGGGTGTTGCAAGCGTCGATGGGCGGCCGTTATCACTTAACGTCAGTTGAACCAGCCAGCTCGTCTGCCACCATCTCACATTAATAACAAATGTCCTCAATTAACTCGGAACTTCTGTTTAAAGAATTTATTTCCCAAATAAATATTGCATAGTAGTACAGTTCGATTAGCGTAGTTATTTAAAAGTTATTAAGTACGTCATCAATTTGAATTTAAAAATTAAATCGATATTGAAGCTACACTAACAACTTATATAATTGGCCTCATATCGTCCCGTCACCTGTAGACTGTCATAAACATAATTATATATAAGTATATTCAGATACGACCTTGAAATATTTCCGAAATGGAAATATTTTTCGCCCCGAATGTCCTACTGAAGCTACCTACTGAAGCTTGAACGGGAGGTTGGCACGTGTCAATATTGGGGGGGGGGTTGGGGATTGTTCTTTATTGGGGGGGGGGGGGGCACCCACTAGGGCGACATTCAGAAGTTTATTTCGGGAACATCTTTGCGGATGGTTGGAGATATTAGTGTTCAATACAGTACCTTTGGCACGTGCAGGAAAACTGATGATGGTCAACGATCTGACTGTCTGCCCGTCCGTACGTCACTCACCAGGCAGTATCTCGTGAACCGTAACAGTTGGACAGTTGAAATTTTCACAGATGATGTATTTCTGTCGCCGCAGTAACAACTAATACTAAAAAATAATTTAAGCGGGGCTCTCATACAACAGACATGACTTTTTCTAGACCGCCGATCGTCCGACTCGCTCTTGGCCGGTTTTTTATTTAACTTTTAAAATTTTTCCTTATTTTTCTTTTGTTTCGCTCAAGAAGTATAAGAAGTTATACTTCTTTACGTGCATACGTAAGTATACACGTACTTTTTATGAGGGAGTTGTAGATGCTTGAAACACAGTGGGGGTCACTATATATTTTTAAAAATTTGATTCAAATTATTTCCTTTCATCGACCAATAGTTAAGTATAACCCATTGCATTAGAACAAACGTAGTTTTTGGCACCATGCCGCGTGGAGTTGAGCGTTGGATAATTTCGCAATGAGTTAACATTTGAAAACTTTGCATATAATTATATAACACTTTGATTTATATAGAACCGCTTGTTTTCTGCGACGAATCGCAGAAACCACGCGTGAATTGTAATTCAATTTTGAAAGGAAATATTGTAAACATTATGTTAGACTAGCTGTTAACCGCCGCTTCGCCCGCGCCGTCAAGCGTAAATAACAATGAGTTTTTTAATATACAACATAAAATTATAGTTGAATTTATTTTTTAATTTATACTTAAAATATTTTTTTAATTTATACTTACTTCACACTTATCGTTATATTTTGGACAAATCACGCAATATCTTTATAAATTTATAGCCTTTGTGTTATTCTGATGTATAAGCTATACTATTGTAAATTTTCATTAAAATCTGTGCAGTAGTTATTGCGTGAAAGAGTTAAGACATCCATCCATACATACAAACTTTCGTGTTTATAATATTAGTAGGAAAAAACGTCCCCAAAAAACTCACGATTGACCGTGTAATGCCTAAATCGCGTGCTTGGCTATTGTGTTATTTTTAATTCCTATCACCCGCAATTACATATCTATTACGGAACAACAGAGATAAAGCAAAGTGCACTCCACTCGCATACTCCTTCCGTAGTCGTCAGAGAACGTCAGAGTGGCCCTAGACCTCATCGCGTTTCCGCTCTTGTGTGACGCGCAAAACAAAGATTTAATAAACAAACGAAACCTAGCAAAGGTCGCGGAAGCATTTGGTAGAGTCGCGTGATAATAATAAAAATCACAAACCTTCGACGCTGAGCTGATACGATGTAAGGGTCGCGACACGACCGGAGGGAGGAGGAAAAATGGCTGGCGCGAGGACCATAACGGCTGAACCGCCGCGCTCCACAGCCTACTACTACGCCGACCTAGAGCGGCTGAGGCGAAAGAACGGCTTCCAAGCCGAGGAGCCGTCCGCGGAGCAGCCCAGCAGAGACCCCAACGAGCGCAGCGACTGCGTAGAGTCCACGGAGGCGGTGGAAGAAGGCCCCGTGGCCGAGGTCCCGCCCCTGAGGGACAGGAGGCAGGGCCATGACCACCAGAGGCCGGGAGCCGAGAGGAAACTGGAGGAGACTTACTCCACCGCCGGCACGTTCCCAATGCCGGAGCCCCTAAAAGAGAAGGAGCCCCTATTGGCCGAGCTGGAGGTGGTAGGTGGGCTGCCGCTGACCCAGCTCGACTCCGGCTCAGGGGTGAGGAGGAGCAGGAGCTGGTACCTGTGCTGCCCGAACGTCGGCGAGGAGGAGATGTCCAGGGAGTCCTCGTGGCGGTACTCCAGCCTGCGAACGGTCACCTCGCCCCCGGCTCCAGGGCGGAACGGGATGCATCTGGTGGGTTGTGTTTGTCAATGTCGTGGGCGAATGAATTTAGACGACTCCGTTGCGCAGTCGCCAAGGTATTAATGGCTTCGGCGTCGCGGGCCCTGGGTTCGATACCCACACGGGACAACTGTTTGTGCGACCCACAGATAGTTGCTTCGCATCTGGGTGTTTGTCCTTACAACACAGGATATTGTATAACTTTAGGCTATAAAGTGAGGGCAATGTTTTTTTAGCTAAGAAAAGAAGAGGAAAAAGAAAATGTTAAGAATATTGACGTTGGCGTAATAAACTTTAAATACCTATATTATAAACAATAGTGAAAAATCACCAATGAATTACTCAACGAGCGGAATTCGCCGCTAGCTTATAGTTTTCAAAATTAATGAAATAGTGTAATTTTCTCTGTGGAAATCCGACATTTTAATGTTGTCAATATGTCAATTCTGCTACTATAGAAATAGGGTGGTCATAAAAAAATAACCTCGAAGGCTAAGCCTAAGGCTAACCTAATCTATCCGAGTCGGATTACTGTGTCGGTTCTGTGACTCATTAAATTAAAAAAAAAAAATGGAAACTGTCGATACGAGTATGATGTCGCCCGCTTCCTACATTTATCATGTTGGCAGAACTGTGTATTGAGTTTTTGAAGTCAAATTAATAAAATGGCGAACTTTCTCAGTGAAAATACAAGTTTTAAATATTTCTTTCTCGAAAACTGTAAGCGACCGGAGAATGCTGCTTGTGGACGTCCTTTTAAATTTGTTTTAATTGAATTACGGGAACGTCAATGTCCTTTAAATTTGCCACGTCGATTAGTCCCACACCCCGTTGGACCCATTAGGTGGTGGGTTCGATTCCCACACGGGACCCATAGAAATTGTTACAAATCTGGCTGCTTATCCAAAAGGTGCGTTGATGTCAGACTTGAGTAGTTTAGTAACTCAGTCATATTCAACACACTCTTCTACGGAAAGATAATATTTCGAGACTTATTGTCTGCAGATGCAAATCAATTGGCACTTTAGCTGTTTGCATATGCAATTCAATCACAAATATTAGACGCTCGAACACGAAATGAATTTCCCAATAGTATACATGCCCAGTTTGAGACTATATCGCTTAATTTTCGATTTTTCAATTGTAGTTTGTATTTTTATGTGTATATCATATATTTCAGTAAGTATATATCTAAATTTTCGTATAGAATTGCAGCTCCAGGCTTAAAAATAAGACCTGAGGACAGGAGAAGTGAAAGAAAGTAAGAAATATTAGTGTGTCCAATTATCCATAAGCCGTAAGTGATTCCCACTGCTTATCAGACATACCACCATCTTAAGTAAGCTTTCAATCACTTTAATTGCTGGACGAAACGCAAAAGTATTAAATACTTCTATTTTAAGACTACCGTAGGGCCCTACTTCCCCGATAGCTGCTGAGGTGTCGCAACAGACAGACGGCGGAGTCTTAGAATAGGTTCCCGTTTTTCCTGTGGGTAGGTAAGTTTAAGTAAAAATAAACACGATAAATCAGGTATAATTAAATTCATTTACTAATGTGTAATCGCGTTAATATAAGATTCTAGCGATATAAACCTTCCTCTTGAATCACTCTACCTAGTAAAAAAACCGCATCAAGATCCGTTGCGTAGTTTTAAAGATCTAAGCATACATAGGGACAGAAGGACAGCGGGGTGACTTGGTTTTTAGATCATACTATGATTATCGACCATCAACGCTAATCGTGTCTTATATCGATTATCAATGTCAACCGATTACCCAGGTATGGTATTTAGTGGTTGTTTGGCGACCAACGCCGGAACAATAAAGCTGATAATAAAAACCGCCCAACAGCGTCCCTTGTTGGCAATTTGGCGCGCCCCGTCGCCGATATAAAACTATTTTAGACGTCACAACTCTGGAACGGATCGGTTTAGATGTTGGAAAATAGGAGTTTGTCAAATTCGAATATATTTATTCAATATAGAAGCATTACGCTGCACAGAGGAGGCCTTTGCCCAGCAGTGGGACATTGGTCACACTTATCGATTGTCAAAGTTCTGTTTCTACCGGTTCGCGAAAGAAAAGCCACTGACATGAGAAGAACCGGCGAAAGAACTAAAGGGGGAATCTCGGAAACTGCTCCAACGATTTTCACAAAATTTAGTATGCAGATAGTTTCGAGGGCAATTAATCCATCTGGCTTGTTTCATTTTTAGAATCCATCGCCGCCATCTCTCGGGCGGTCCCGAAATCAGAAGACCCTGGTTCGAGTCCAGATAATATTTTTCCAGTATTTTTTTGAGGCCACATGAATTTTTTATTTTTTTTTATTTTCCCCATTTTTCAAGTTCATTTTGTGAGAGAAAAAGAACCGGTCATAAGGTCATACTTATTTTTTAATGTCGACAGAGTTCTAAAAGTGTAAGTTCTTAAGTTACCTGTAATAATAGTGTAAGGTTTTGTTAATAAATAAATAATTAAAACTGGTAGTAAACTTTCGCTTTTACAACGATTACATTAAAACATTTCTTTATATTTAAGTCTCTCGTTTGATTCAAATCTTTCAAGCTTTTTGAGTTTACTATTTTATTATCTGTCTCGCTTTTATCTTACATTTGATTACATCGTAAAATGTCCAAGGTTTCTTATATTCGAAAATTTTATTGGTATTATCTACGTAAGACGAACCAGATGGATTTCTACGAAAAGTCATACGAAGATTTTGATTTAGCGTTGTCAAATCAAATCAAATCATTTATTTATCCAAATAGGAAATATACATTTCATCTATCGGTAGTCATTTTTTAAATCTACCACCGTTTCGTAATGAGATTCCTCTAACGGAGAAGAAACAGGCGAAAGAAACTCCGTAGGTATCCAAACAATTACATTGTTATACAGTACATAATTTTTAGAAACAGCTTAGGAGCGCTCGTCTCATTCCCAGTTGCGATGAATAGATAATTAACGGCCGGTTTAAATATTCTATCCTCAGATAGATTTGGTAACTAGCGATAGGTATTCGACAAGAGCAGAACTTGTATTGCAAAAGCAGGCTATACGGGCTGTCTATGGCTCGGGTCCACGTGAGTCACTACGGCATATATTTAAGCAAATAAACGTTTTAACGCTCCCGTCGCTTTACATATTTGAGAACATCATGTATGTACGTAATAATATCCACCTTTTTACGAAAAAACACTCCACATCGCGTCGGGGCCGTGGTGACACTCTGGAAGTACCGAGGTTTAGACTGGCTAAAACAAGAAAGTCGTTTCTTGGTAGATGCATCAACTTTAATAATAAAATAGGTGACATCCACAAACAACTAAGTATAAAAAATTTCAAACATTTTGTAAAAGCTACCTTAAAGGCAAGGGCCTACTATAATGTCCTAGAATACATTGAGGACGAGCATGTGTGGAAATGACTCTTGCTCTGCACTCGCAAGACCGTTGTCTATTGCTGATTTTGTTTGATTGCAACACAAAAAAAAAATAAAAAAACAAGACCGCAGAGTTTCCTGCCGGTTCTTCTCTGTGCAGGTCTAGTTTAGTGAACCGGCGGTAGATTTTTTGTTGACGTTCAATAAGAGCTTAAGCTAAGCCTATATTGATTAAAGATTATTTGACCTTGACTTTTGGGAACTGTGAAACCTCCGCTCCATGCCGGTCTTTGATGAGTCCGTGACACTCACCCGGACGTAACCATTCGTGCGACAGCGAAGACTGTGTTGATTTTCCGTTGAACCGGTATCGTTGCTCAATAATAATTCATCAGAGCGCACTCTTCAGTCCCCAAATTGATTATAGCGTCTCGGAGATTTTGTCAAACTCAAAAAGAGCGGACATCGATTAGGAATTACAGCGGTATGCAGTGAATTTTTAACTACTCGTCATCTAATTAAAATATTGCTTAGTTTGAGTTATTTAAAACTTTTCATTACTCAAAAAGATAAGCAAATGCTTACGATGCTGTCATAGGGAATGTTAAATAGTGATAATTTAACCATTGTTACGGATATTATCATGTTTAATTTCAATTAAGTACCCAACAAGGTCCCAATACTTTGCAGCATTTATGGTCATAGGATCGATATTTGGATATTTGTTCCATCAATCAGACTAAACGGCGCGCATCGCTGTTGATTGCCCGATAAAGTTAAATATAATTGTTTTTGACACATTTTGCCACCACGTTCTCTAGTCCCAAACTAAGCAAAGCTTGTGCTACGGATACTAGATAAATGATAAACATACTTACACATACTTTCCTTTTGTAGTACATACGCTGTTGGTCGGTCGATAAAGCTAAGTAAATATTTATTTACAACGTTCTCTAGTCCCAAACTAAGCAACGCTTGTACTATAGGCACTAGATAACGATAAACGTAATTAAACATACTTCATCTTTTGTAAATAAATACATATTTTACCCATATAAACACTCAGCCTCTGGAAGGACTATGCTCATCGCACAATATTTTTCCAGTAATCAGGATCGAACCCATACCCCCTTGCGCAAGAGACAGGGTCACTACCCACTACGTAAATTGGGTCGGCGTGTATTTCTATGTTCATCACACAATATTCGAACCCACACCCTTTGGCGCAAGAGGCAGGTGCACCGCCCACTACGCCGATGGGTTCGTCAGAATAACTGTGGTAAATCAATAAAAACTTATGGTCAATAACTTATGGCCACGCAGCAGCCGCGACTGTGGCACGAATGGGCAGGCTCGTCCGGGTAAGTACCACGACCTCACAGAAGATCAGCGTAAAGCGGAAGTATAATACTTTCATGTTTCGTCTGGTGAGTGAGGGGCGGGAAACCAATTTTCAAAAGGCTGTCAACGAATCTGCAACCTCCGGGTGTAGCAGATGTCCATGGGCGGCGGTATTCACTTAACATCAGGTGAACCATCTGCTCGTTTGGCAACTTTTCACATAAAAAACAATAACGATAGCATTCTCCTTCAAAGGTCGTGACCCAAAGCAGCGGGCAGGAGGACGTGGTGACGCTGCGGAATGAGAGGGATGCCCTCGCCAGGGCATTGGCTGCGGAGAAGCAGAGGGCGGCCAGCGAGGCGAGAGCCCACGACGCGAGGCTGGCGGAGCTGCACGGGGTCATAGCGGAGCTGGTCAGGAGGCGAGCGCAGGATAAGGGCTCGAGGGCGATACCAGAGGAGGAGGTGTCCGGTGAGCCTATCAGCTTCTTCTTCCTTTCGTCAAAATAGCTACTTAGATCTTGTTCGACCAGTATTTGGCCACATCCACCGCAGCAGAGTTGGCTTCAAGCAGGTCTTCGTAGATGCAGGAAGAGGGACAGAGGTGAAGGAGGTGTATAATAAAAAACTCATTGTTAGTTCCCTTTGGCCGCGTGGGCGAAGCCGCGGTTAACAGCCAGTACATACATACTCTCGAAAAAGATAACATTTCACCATCGTACCACTCGTCAAACCGCCAAGTACCACCGACACCACCTTGATGGTTGGCGGTCCACCACTGTGCGTCTTCCACGTAATTTTCTGCCACGCACAACTAATTTGTGGAACGAGTTGTCGCCAGCGGTATTTCCGGACCGATACGACTTAGGGACCTTCGAGAGGAGATGCGAGAGACCCTACTCCCACCTTAAAGGCTGGCAACCCAATTGCAACTCAACCGACGTCCATGGGCGGCGGTGATGGGTCGTCATTAGGTGACCCGTATGTTTTTTTTTTATGTGAAAAATGCCAAACGAGCAGACGGTTCACCCGATGGCAAGTGAATACCGCCACCCATGGACATCTGTTACACCCGACGGTTACAGATGTGTTGACAACCTTTTGAAAATTGGGCTCCGGCCACCTCGCTCACCAGACGAAACGCGAAAGTATTTGTGATACTTCAACTTTACGCTGGTCTTCTGTGAGGCGATGGCACTTATCCGGACGAGCCTGCCCATTCGTGCAACAGCCGTGGCTCTGCCACCGTACACCGCATGCTCGTTTGCGTCCTTTTCCATAAAAAAAAAAAATAACCCTCCTTCTTGCGCAGTCGGGTAGAAAGAGGGGCCGATGTGCAAAGTTATCACCCCTGATGAATCTTTCTTTTCACTCACAGCATCTCTCATACGTTCCAGAAAGTGGCACCTCTTGTCTATCTTCCTCTCCCTTTTTTACACTCGCAGCATCTCATGCGTTCCAGTAGTTCGTTGTCACACAACAGTCCCTTTTTACTCGACAGACGAATGCGAATCCACCACCCAGCCGGCCGGCGAGCTGGACAACGATGCTGACAGGTCCCGCACTGACCAGGTGACTGGTTAATTTCTACTGTAAATTAAAAAATAGTAAAGTAACAGCCTTTAAATGTCCCACTGCTGGGCAAAGGCCTCCTCTGTGAAGACGGTATCGGGGCATAGTCCGCCACGCGGCCCCACTGCGGATTAGCGGACTTCACATATACTTTTGTTTCGTTCACTTGGCATATCTAATCATATAATAAAAAAAAATAAACAGATGCATATCTAATGCACAGTTCCTATGTTCAACGAACGGCCGTTAGTTACATCGCTTCGTACCTTTAAAAACGACTTGTAGATTAAAGGAACGCTAGTAACTCACTTTACGTAGGTAACGCAACGGCTCGTTAGGAAAACGCCTCGTTTTGTTAATACAGGAACCGGGCGTGCACGTCTTTTATCTAAAAGTCGTAACGAAAGTTACGAAGCCATGTGACTAACGGCCGTTCGTTGATTATAGGAACCGGTCTTAAGTTCTTTCGTGCTTCCCTCACAGAACGACACCTCGTCTCTGAGTCCCTCCGACCAGCCCAGCCCTCTACCCCAGGACCCAGCGCCGGCACAGCCCCCGCAATCCAGGTGGGTGGACCAGCTGAGAATAGAATGGAGTAGACTAGTTTATTTGAAATATCAGATGACTCCGTGGCGCAGTTGCCAAGGTATTTGGCTTCGGCGTCGGGGGCCGTGGGTTCGATCCCCACACGGGACAACTATTTGTGCGACCCACAGATAGTTTTTTCTCATCTGGGTGTTTTTCCTTGTGTAATTTGTGTTTGTAAAACGTCCTTACAACACAGGATAATGTAATCCTAAAGTGAGGGCAATGTTTTAATAAAAAAAAAGAAAAAAAAAATATGGTATAAATATGAAGGTCACAGACTGGTGGTTGGTTGAGCGCGTCACGCGGATGCCGCGGGTTCAAATCCTTGAAACTTAGGTGCGGAGACTGACGATAAAGAATAAAAACGTAATTAAAACATGTTTCATATGAAAATGTGTCGAAATTGGATTGTTTGTGGGTCTAATTTTGTTTAAAACAAATAAAGTAACAGCCTATATATGTCCCACTGCTGGGCAACAGCCTTTTGAGTACAGAGCGTATCAGGGCAAGGTCCACAACGCCACCCAACTGCGAATTTGCGGCCAAAGTAACATAGGCCTATGTTCAACAGTGGACTCGAACAGGCTGAAATGATGAAAGTAACAGCTTATATATGTCCCACTGCTGGGCTAAAGGCCACGCGACCACACTTCGGATAGCCAATCAAACAAACTGCTCAAACACTGTGACGGTTTCCAATTTCCCTCGGCAATTCGTGTCCAAGGAGTTTGAACCGTAAGACAAGCGTCACGCGGTCCAAAGTCTTGTAGCGGCCACAATCGCGACCAGCTCCCGTCCGCAGGACAGCGCAGACAGCGCAGACAGCGCAGGCCCAGCCTGTGGCCAGTGACGTCAGCCTGAACTGCTCCGAGCGCGACTCCGAGATATGCGTCAGCACCGCGAGGTGAGTGACGTCACCGATTGAGGGGACCCCAACTCGTAAACTATCCGACGATATAAACGGAGTATAAGCAATCGATGACTCCGTGGCGCAGCTACCAAGGAGTTGGCCTCGTTGCCGGGGGTCGTTGGTTCGATTCCAACACGGGACAGCTCTTCGAAAACATATCGATAACATTATCCCGTGTCGCAAGCACGTTTTGCATGCACACATTTCACGCGGACACACACCCTGATGCGAAACAATTCCCTTTTGGTCACACGAATAGTTGTCTCCCTTAAAAATCGAACCCACGACCGCGCCGAAGCCAATCTCACCTAGGCGAAGGTATGACACTTCCAATTTACGCCTGTCTTCAGTGAGGCCGTAGTACGTCCCGGGCGAGCCTGTCCATTCTTGCCAACAGCTGAAGCTGCGTGGCAGGAGAGTGGTACAGTACCAGATCCGATCCGTTGCAAGGTGTCCTTCTATCTGGTGGTATCACCACAGATGCTGCCAGTACGCGAGGGGCGCTCAGCAGCAGACGGACGAGAGCGACATCCCCGACGGTCTACTCCCGCCCTCTCCAGGTGATTTCCACACGTAGAACCTTCTAGATTCCTTAGAATAGAATCCTTGGTATGGCCGAGGTCAAGAGACGTTTGTACTCGTTTGTTCTACTCCAGCGGCTTATTTTGCTAAAAAGGTAAGTCGTTATTAAGTATTTTATCAATCGAATGCTGCGATCTGGTCTGCTTTAATTTATTTACGTACTTCTATTTGGAGCCACAGTTGTGATTGCATTTCTGTTCACCTGCGGTGATAGTAGCTGTCATCGACTTATCCGGTTACATGGTCGAAGGTCGCAGGTGTCAGGTGAAGATCGTGTTCGTGGCAGTCTGTATGTTCAGCAGTGGACTCATCGCCACCATCAGCCGCAAGACGTCCACTGTTGAAAATTGGCCTCTTAGAACGCCACAACCAAACGACACTTTGTCATTTGCATCGACCGGGTGCCCCCGACTCTTATGATGTCCTCGGTCCATCTAGAGGACCGAAACAGGCTGAAACGATGATGATGATGATCCGGCTCGAAGGACCGTTTTGAGAACCGTACTTTGGTTAGCTGGAAGCGTTTAAATGCGTTATATAGGTGTTAAATGTTCCAGGGCGTTGCGAGTCGCGGCAAGCCAAGCTCGCCGCGCGGGTGCGCCTGCGACGCGCCGCTGACGCCGACTCCGCCCACTTGAGCAACGACCAGGTGATTTGCCTAGTCTAGAACTGCTGAAACTGAAGAAATATATAGATATTTATAATAATATCAAAATCGGCCTCGATATATCGGAGGGAAAATATTGGTATATCGTAAGTAGTTACGCAAACCTTAGTCAAAAAGAAGTATTTTAAGTATTTTAAATTTAATACCTTTGGATTCTGTGCTGAATTCGAATTTGAAAAAAATCGATACGATTTTCGATATTGAATATTTTGTATCCATATATTGATACTTTTTCTACATCACCACCTTCTTGGTTCGTCCGAGAATCTTGTGTTAAAAATTTCGTAAATAAGAGTATCGGCAGAGTCTTGTTAGTATTTCCTTCGGTTTTTAAACGTAGCCTTCTTCAATGTCTTTAAACGTCGTACTTCAACAGATGCAGATGGTGCCCGGTGAAGAGGATGAGGAGGCGCTAGAGGGTGGTCTGCTAGCCCTGGAATATCCAGGTATGTAATACTCTCAAGAAATTACCAATGACATCTAATTAAGTATCATTTTATCAACCAACGAATAGATGGTGCGTAAGCTAAAGCTTCTTTTGCATGGAACCACGAAACTATTTATTTTTTTATTTCATTGCATTTTCACTGCCAATTAAATAGGACAGACAAAAAAGGGCCCAAAGAGCCAAAATTCTCTATCATTCAATAGCAGCAGCAAAAAATACAAAGGTAGAAATTTTTAAATGAAGAGATATATACTAGCGCACCAGACACACCTTGTCACACCTTGTTTAAAAAATAAGAAAGACATTTGTTGAAGGGCGAAAAGCTAGTTATAGGTAATTGTGTGGTAATAAATGCGTCGTTGTCAGGCGAGGCGCTGGCGGCGGTGGCGAGCGCGTGGCGGGCGCGCTGCCTGCGTCTGCAGGCCGACTGCCGCGTGCTGGACTGCGCCCTGGCGCGCGCGCTCGACTCCGCGCACAGGTGCGAGGCGGGAACAGCGGCGGCGCCGGACATGCCCCCTGGGGGACGCCGTCGGCTGTCTCTTTGTCCGACGATTCTGCATCTATCGATCCCGCACAGTTCACTCTCCACTCACTAGTGGGGAGTCCCTTACTACGATGCTTTCCCATATTCAACGAACGGCCGTTAGTTACATAGTTTTGTAACTTTCATAATCACTTGTACGTAAAAGACGTGTACGCCCGGTTCTTATATTAACAAAACGAGGCGTTTTCCTCGAGAGCCGTTGCATTACCTACGGAAAGTGAGTTACTAGTGTTCCTTTGATATACAAGTCGTTATAAAAGTTACGAAGCTATGTAACTAATGCTCGTTCGTTGAAAATGGGAACCGGACGTTAATAAAGAACACATTTTACTGCGATAGGGCCCGGGGAAGTATCACGACCGCACGGAAGACCGGCCGGCGGTGAGTGAGGTGGCCGGAGCCCATTTTAGTATACGGTGGCCACGCATTAGCAACCCAACGGGTTGTGAGGACGTTTCACATGTTTGTGATGAAATGCGATGAATGCCCCTCGGCAGGCTGACGTGCGCGTGCGCGGCGCAGGAGTCGTCGTCGGTGGCGCTGTGCTGCGCGCTGCGGGCGGCCGACCGCGCGCTCGAGGCCTACGACGTGCTGCTCGCGCTGGCCGAGACCGCGCCCCACGCGCAGCGCCGCCACCAGCGGCAGGTGCGCACCCGCCGGCGACAAGCGACGACCGCATCGATCTTTCTCATCGACATATGTTCCGTCCCGCTCGCGCAGGAGCGGCTCGCGGCGGAGGCGGTGGCGAGGCGGCTGCTGGCGCGGCTGGAGGCGCCCTCGCCGCCCGGGCCGCTGCTCTCGCCGGGGCCCTGGCTGGCGGACCACCACCTCAGGTCTCGCTGCTCCTTCTCGATTCCATAGCATCGTCATCGTCATCATACTATTATCCTTCCTACCTAGGTAGAGGTTCGACTCCACCTTGGGAAATGGGGGGGGGGGGGTCATCACCCTCCCTTCCTTTTCAATTTCTTTGATGTCCATATGTCTGTTAGAATAAATAAAATACGTATAAAAATAACGTAGTAAAACACAACAAATGAGAATCTGTGATACAATTATTTATTATAGATAACAGAAAAAAAATTAAAAGCTGTTTTTTAACAACAAAAAGCATGCAAATGGGCCGTTCTACTAACAGCGCCATCTAGCGAAATTCCACCAACACTATTCGATGACTTGTGTTCATGCGAAATACTATTACTATTGCAGGGGGGAGGAGTCCGGCGAGGAGGGTGGTGACGAGGCGGGTGATGGCGGTGATGGCGGTGATGGGGGTGATGGGTTGTGGAGCGCCGAGCTGGAGGCGCGCCTGAGGGAGCACGCGGCACGGCTCAAGGCGGACACGGTGGCGCTCAGGACGGCGCGGAAGCCGCCCGCCCTCTTCTCCTACCACGGTGAGCGGCCCTGCCACCGCTGCCACAGCTGCCACCGCTGCCACTTATGCCCGGTTCCTATATCCAACGGACGGCCGTCAGTTGTAGCTTCGTAACTTTCATAACAGCTGGTAGATAAAAGTCGTGTACGCCCGGTTCCTGTAACAAAACGACGCGTTTCCCTTACGAGCCGTTGCATTACCCACGGAACGTTCGTTTAATCTACGAGTCGTTACGAAAGTTAAGAAGCCACGTAACTGACGGCCGTTCGTTGAATATAGGAACCGGGCATTAGAAAGATTGTGTTGTAGTCTTCCCTTGGAATACATATGCCAACCCTCTTATATTTAGCAACCCCCTATTTCCGTGCGTAATATTATGTGTTGTAAGGACGTTTTACATATTACTAGTGGTAAGACCATGCAGTGGTCACTGTTGCACAAATGGGCAGGTCCGTCCGGGTAATTACCACGACCTCGTATAAAGCCGGCGTAAAGTAGATGTGTTACACTGCTCACGCAGCAGTGTGGTGAGCAGCTCCTCTGGTGAGTGAGGTAGCCGGTTTATTAAGAGATGGCAACGCATCTACCACCCAACTGGTGCTGCCAAAGTTCACGGGCGGCGGTTATCGCTCAACGTCAGGTGAACCGCTCGTTTGCCACTTTCTCACATAAAAAAATTGCTCCAATGTTGACGGAGTCACGCCCGGGGTGCCTTTGCCCGCAGACGCTGACGAGGACAGCATCTCCAAGGCGGTTGGTGACATCAGCATGGCCGAGATGGAGGCGGCGGTCGTATTGCAGGTGCGTGCACAGAGCTGGTGCGATATATTGCGTCTGTCTCGGAAATATTTCAAGATATTTATCCCGTCGCCTTCACTGATGTTTAATAATAATATTTAATAATAGATGAAGCATATCCGTACTGTGCGTTTGAAAGTTGTTCCGCTTTACACAATATGACGAGTAGAAGTAAATGTTAAGAATGATATAGGACGTATACAGTGTGTCGTTACCATCGCGACAATAAATGAACACACGTCTAACGCTACTTGCCAATGATCATAAAAAAATATTATCGTTAAACAAAATCCATAATTAAAAAAAATATTTTTCAAACAAACTAATTAAGTAAAAAAGAAACAAAATTTGTAACATCCTATACAACTCGCGCCACAGCGTGGCATTACAAGTCTCTCCTTCTAACAGTATGTTTTCTCTCTTTCATATGCTATGTAACCTTTACAAATGAACTTTACGTTACAGTTTTATACGTAAGGGTGTTCTAAAATTGTTTGTTTTGGAAAATTTAATAACTCGGTATATATTGATGTTTAAAGAATGTAAATGTTTAATACATTTTTAAAAAGTTATCGTCTATATGTGTGTTCATTTATTGTCGCGGTGGTAACGACACGCTGTATATGATACGGAAAGAGATAGCAGTCTATAAAATTGCAATCTAATTGCACCAATTGGCGCAATTTGGGCGCCTAAGTTTCGGTGCGCTAGTGTAATCTGTAACTTATTTGTCGTATTTGTATATTATATCTTTAGTAACGTTATGTACAATGATACAAAAGTTAAACATTGAAAATTACAAAAAAAAAACGTTTAGAAAAAATAGTACAATAGAAAATGGGTTAAAATAATAAATGTGTCTACCGTAATAATAATAACATTTTAAAATAACAGTTCTTGAAAGGGAAACTGTTGCATATGTTTCGATCGATTTTTTTCTGTTAAGATCCGATTTGGCTTTTTAAACTTATTCTGAACATGCAAATAATGAATCGCTGAACTGTTGCAAATCGATGTAATATAAAACAGCGCCATCTCTTGAATGTTTGAAGTAAATGGTTACTGTTGACATAATGTTACTGCCATACTTTGGCAGATGGCGCTATGTGACAATATCGAAAAGGTGTATCCCCGTTAGAAGTTATTAGAGATGGGTCGTATCGCGTTTTTCTGAGTACCGTATCTGAATCAGATTTCGATTTCAAATATCAGATTTCGAAACTATGTATTTTAATATCTAGTTATTTTACGGTCCCGTATCCACCTTGAATTCTAAAAAAAAAAAATTATAATAATAATAACCGTTAGGATGGCGTTCGCTGGGACCAACATAAACTTGTCCCAGCCGGACATTACGCAAAAACTAACGGAGCGCATAGATGACCTGAAGCAGAGGATCGCTGCTTGGGGGAAGCGGATTCGGAGATATTCCGAGAGGACGGCGCGGTTTAGCCAGAATCGCCTCTTCCAGAGTGACCAAAAGAGGCTCTACAAATCTTTGGAGCGACCAGTGAGTTGTGGAACGGGCCAAGGACCGGACCAGGCAGACACTGTCGCCTTCTGGCGCAGCCTGTGGTCAGAGCCCGTAGACCACAGTGAGGGCCCTTGGACACAAGTCGTGGCGAGCCAATGTGCAGACATTACACCCATGGACCCCGTCGTCATATAACACCCGACGACGTATCCGAGGCAGTCCGTAGAGCCCCGAACTGGAAAAGTCCGGGACTCGACGGGCTGCATCACTACTGGCTGAAGGGGTTCGTGGTGTGTCACGCTGTGCTCGCCCGGCAATTCCAAGAGGCTCTCGATCAGAGGTCGCTCCCGAGCCTCTTTACTACTGGGGTCACTCATTTGGTTCCTAAAGATCTGGTTACCACAGACCCGAGTAAGTAACGCCCCATTACGTGTCTACCTACCATCTATAAGACACTGACATCTATTCTGAGTATGAGAATCACCCGGCACATTAATGTGAATCGGATTATGTCTCGTACTCAGAATGGATGTCGGGGCGGCGGTCGTGGAACCAAGGAACCGCTTCTCATCGACGCGGTCATTGGTAAAATGGTTAAACGCAACCGTCGGAACCTCTCCGCCGCCTGGATAGACTACAAAAAGGCATTCGACTCGGTGCCCCATACATGGCTAAAGAGGGTCCTCGAACTGTACAAAGTAGACTGTACAGTAAGAGACTTCCTCGAGCACTGTATGGGGCAATGGAGTACGATCCTTTGTCATCTAGGCGAGCGGATGACGGCTGCGGAATACCGGATAAGGATACGACGGGGTATTTTCCAGGGCGACTGTTTGAGTCCAATATGGTTTTGCCTCTCCCTGAATCCTCTCAGCGTATTACTGGAGGGCTCGGGGGGAGGATTTCAGCTTCGGAGAGGAGGGACAAAAGTGACCCACCTTTTCTACATGGATGACCTCAAATTATTCGCCTCCAATCGCTCCCATTTGATGGAATTGCTTAAAGTCACTTGTGATTTCAGCAATTCTATCAAAATGGAGCTCGGGACGGATAAGTGTGCGGTCCTTCATGTCGAAAGGGGTAAGGTCGCTAATACGGCGGGCATAGACTTATCTATGCCCGTTAACATAAGGACCCTCTCTGAGGCTGAAAAATACCGATACCTGGGTATGTCACAAAATATGTGTATCGATGAGGCTGGCATGAAACAGTCAGTTCGTGACGTGTTTTTTGCACGCCTGACAAAGGTGTTTAATAGCCATTTGTGTGCTTTTAACGGCTGGGTCATGCCAGTCCTCATGTATACCTTTGGCATACTCAGGTGGACTCAAACTGAGCTCAACGCCCTGGACCGAAAAGTCCGCACAACTATGACGTCCCACAGAATGCATCATCCGAGATCGTCAGTGATGAGGCTGTACCTTCCGCGGAAGCATGGCGGGAGGGGCTTTTTAAGCGCCCTCACCATGCACAATCGCGAGGTGTGCAGCCTCCGTAACTACTTTCTGGCGAGATCGGATGAGTCAATCTACACGGACGTCATTAGTTGTGATAAAGGACTTACCCCTCTATCCTTAGCCAACGAGCAATGGCAGGACCCGGGAGTACTGAGCGTTTCCGACCGAGAGGCTGTATGGAAGGAGAAAGAGCTCCACGGGAGGTTCTACAAGGCTCTACACGAGCCTTTCGTAGATACTGTTGCCTCCCTGAACTGGCTACGTTTCGGTGACCTCTTTGGGGAAACCGAAGGTTTTGTCTGTGCGATACAGGATCAGGTTATTAAGACGAACAACTATAGGAGATACATCCTAAAGGATGGCACCGTCGACATCTGTCAAGCTTGTCGCCATCCCGGGGAGTCCGCTTCGGCATGTTATCTCCGGTTGTTCCATGCTTTCTAACTCTGAGTATCTGCATAGACACAACCTAGTAGCCAGAATCCTACACCAGGAGCTCGCTCTGAAATACGGCCTCGTGGAACGGAAACTGCCGTATTATAAGTACTCTCCGGAGGCCGTGCTCGAAAATGACCGCGCCAGGCTCTATTGGGACCGGCCCATCTTCACGGACAGGACGATTGTCGCGAACAAACCTGATATCGTGTTGATGGACCGGGCACAGTCGCGGGTATTTTTGGTCGACATTACCATTCCATATGACGAGAACCTCGTGAAAGCCGAAACAGATAAGAAGACGAAGTATCTGGACCTGGCTCACGAGGTGACCGACATGTGGGGTGGTGTGCCGACCGAAATTATCCCGATAGTCGTGTCTGCGAATGGGTTGATCCCAGTCAGCCTCTCTAAACATCTGAGGCGACTGGGACTCCGGGACGGATCGCTCCAGGCTCAAATGCAGAAGGCGGTGCTCCTCGATACCGCCCGCATCGTCCGCCGGTTTCTCTCCCTTTCGCCCTAACCCTCGGCCGTTTGGTCTCCCCTGCCGAGGGCTTCCGTCTGGTTGGGTCCTATTTATACATGTATTATATAAAATATTTATTTATATATATATATATATATATATATATATATATATTTATTTTTATCCATAATATTTATTTTATATATGCAATATATATCTATATCTTTATTTTTATTTATTATTTATAAACCCAACCAGACGAGAAAACAAATGAATATCCCCCCAATAATAATAATAATAATAAAATAAATATAAATTGTGACGGCGTATTTAAAAGTTGATTCATTTCATTCATTCATTCATTCGACGATCATTATACTACATAACTAAAGCCGTGTATTACCAGTGATACCAACTGTTCAAAAAGAATACTTCTAAATAAATTCGAAAACCCACTAAAATTGACTAAATTCAAAAACCTTACTGAATTTAAAATCACACTTTTTTTATACTATTAAGGTAAAATTAAAACATTACCTGATTAAATTAAAAATTTCATTAAAAATAGAAATTGAAGTAATATAAAAATGATTTATTTCAACATCTTATATATCGCTTAATAATTGAGTTTAACATATTCTTAGAACACGCAATCATGAGTGACAATATCTTTATAATTTGTGTAAGAAATAATACATTCAGTATTATAACTTAGGGCGGAAGAATTTAAAATATACACACAAAGCACATAAGCCTTGGTCTGATTTCCACCCAAGCAGCACAGCACTATTAAATTATATTTTTCTTTTTGTGTAGTTTTATTTTTTTTTTTCCAAAAATATGAATAAAATTTAACGAATAAAAATATTCACAAAAAATTTACCTCCTAAAAAATTTCCATTTATATTTTTCTTCCTTAATTTAGGCAGAAAATTCTTAAGTAGTAAGTTGGCATCCCTTACTTACGTGCTAGGTACCAATGCAATCCAGCTCAAGGTTAAACAAAATTTAAAGACATCGTTAATACCGTAATTCGTATTTAAATGCAACTAAAAATGTTTTTTTCCATGCTGTTAAGATTCAAAATTACTTAACTGCGCGCTTTGTCGCCCGTTACGGCTCAAGGCTAAACAAAACAATAAAAATATACTTAATAATATCGTTGTAGTAATCGTTGATACCATGATTAGTATTTAATTGAAACGGATCTTATTTGGATGGTTTTAAGATTCAAAATTACTTAACTTATTCAAAATATCTGTTTAAAAATCTGATATTGTGCCTTGCTTGCCGTACTGCTCTAACTAGTGTAATATTTGTATCTCACGCGCTTTGTCGCTCAAAATCTGTTTAAAAATCTGATATCGTGCATTGCTTGCCGTACTGCTCTAACTAGTGTAATATTTGTATCTCACGCGCTTTGTCGCTCAAAATCTGTTTAAAAATCTGATATCGTGCATTGCTTGCCGTACTGCTCTAACTAGTGAGTATTTTTATCTCACGCGCTTTGTCGCTCGCTCAAAATCTGTTTAAAAATCTGATATCGTGCATTGCTTGCCGTCCCGCTCTAACTAGTGAGTATTTGCATCTCACGCGCTTTGCAATCTGATATCGTGCATTGCTTGCCGTCCCGCTCTAACTAGTGAGTATTTGTATCTCACGCGCTTTGTCTCTCGAAATCTGTTTAAAAATCAGATATTGTGGCAAACGCGTATGATATCGCCGTATCGCGATTCGTGTCGGTATAGCGAGCGAGCACATTACATCAGATTTCGGAAATATCAGATATTGTAAAATACATAGATATTGAACGAGCCAGTAAGCGATATTCGGATATTGTACTTATATCTAGTTTTCATATCTGATACGATATGTATCGCCCACCACTAGAAGTTATACTTTTTAGCGTGACAAAAGAAAACTGGCTAAATATTTCAATCCGTATTCCACGACTCTGTTTATAAAAGGAATTACAATTTAATAAAAAAAATATCACTACAATTTATTTCAAGTCTATAAAAGCAGTTTTTTTTAATATGACAGTAATTTTTATCACGAATTCTTATTCTGGCCTTTCATTCACGACCATACATAATTTAAAATCACATATGCACATGTATATTTATATTGGAATAATATTATTATTGGCAAGTAGCGTTAGACGTGTGTTCATTAATTGTCGCTGTGGTAAAGACACGCTGTATATGCAATCACGTGTTGTAAACTTATGAATATTTGAGAAAAAACTTTTAATATAGTAATGAGGTTTCACGGAAACTTGACTGACGGTTGTCAACTGGCTTACCAGCAGCCAACGCGCGCGTAAATATTTAACTCTCAAAAATTCCTCCAAAAGCGCCAAAATAAAATAATTAAATAACAAAATTACCCGAAACTAAAAGATGCAGGTTAGAATTCCGCATCGCCGTTACTTATTGTTCATTTATCTACAATGTACAATTTTTGTCTACAATGTACAAAAACAAAGATTTTATTAACCGCGACAGTCGCGTTGCAATGTTTCACGAGTGTTTCCTATGATGTCCGCTAGGAGGCGCTGGCGGGCAGGGAGGCGCGCGCGTGCGAGCGAGCGAGACGGCTGCACTCGCTGCGTCCCGCTCCCTCGACGGGCTCGGCCCGCAGCAGGAGGCGCCGCGAGAGGGCGCGCCACTGGCTCGACGGCCACGCCTCGGAAACGGACCTCTGAGCTCTCCCGCACCGAACAAACAAACGAACACACCAACACACTCGCTAATGCCCCGTCCCTATACCCAACGGACGGCCGTTAGTCACGCGGCTTCGTAACGACGTGTAGATAAAAGGCGTGTACGCCCGGTTCGTTCTTTTACTAACGAAAAACAAAACCGACTTTAAATATCTCGCTCTGTATTGATTTTATTATTGATTTTCAGGAGTTACCTAAGTATCTCCGGAACCCAATACCAGTGGGTAATAATTATGGGACACGGGTGGTCCCACCACATGGGGAGCACCAGCTTTCAAGTAAAAAAAGAATCATCAAAATAGATCCACGCAGTAGAAAGTTCTGAGGTAACGAACATAAAAAAAAAAAACAGTCGAATTGAAAACCCTTTTCAAGTCAGTTAAAAACGAGGCGTTTTCCTCACGAGCCGTCGCATTACCTATGTAAAGTGAGTTACTAGCGTTCCTTTAATCTACAAGTCGTTGTTAAAGTTACGAAGCTATTTAATTAACGGCCGTTCGTTGAATATAGGAACCGGTGATTCACAAATTTCGAGAGTCGTCGATTTCACTGCGATGTACAGACGGATACATAGCGCTTAGGGCAAGCTTATTCCGCAGAACTCGTAAAAGAGTCATTTACACTTAATAAAGAAGCGGTCTGCCTCCATTTGGAAAGTAACCAAGCCGATAATATTACTAATAAAAAGTAAACAAAAAAAACAGAGTAGTATACATTAGGAACAAACGCTACTCTGGCTACTTTCCACCAGTCAGACGGTGCTGGTTGTCTCTGCCTACTCCGCAAGATGCGAGGAGTTTAAAGTTAAACTTCGTGAAAGATCAACTGAGGAAGTCGTTATTGTGTAAAATTGAACAATCATCGAAATATAACATAAAGTACAATTGAAAATAGATATAGTTCAGATCTATGAAGAGAGTGTATATACGATGCTTGTATGACTTAAGTTCAAAGTATTACATATAAGGTAGTTTCTAGTTTTGTTTCATTGTGGCAGTAATCAAAGTTGAGATTTTCTCTTCATCGACTCCGGAGTGTATCTAAACTTGTCTTTGGACGACTCTAAAAGTATATTAGTCGTTTATATTATGCCAGTTTTGTAAATAAAACTATATCTGTGTCCTTCCAAGAATCTCAAACAATCCGAACACAAGGTTTCGAATTCAGGAGAAACAAGATATGTGAAACAAAAAAATACATGTATATACTTACTAACAATTTTTCTGTCTTTTAAAATGTTCGTACTAGATAAAGGTTATTCTCAACCTTAAGATTGTCAAAGAAGACTTAGACGCTACCAATAGAACTCCTTACATTTCTTAACGTCAATAAGAAGTAATATAGGTCACACAAATTACTAAACTGTTAGAAAGTTTATAACATAACTCTTGTGTTCTTGTCAATGAGGAAATACTAAAATTTTTGTGTCAAAATTGTTAAAAATCTTTGAGCTTTTTATGCTTTGTTAGTGACGTTATAATATTTTTAGTTGAGAACATTAAAACTATTATTTCTAAGAGTTTATATTAAAACCACATTCTCCTCCTTATGAATTGGACAATTTGTTCTGACGAAATTGGGTGAAATTGTTAACCATTTATACTTTACTTCTGATGTAGTTCCGTTGAATTAATAAAAGTGATATCTGCTTACCCCGATAGAGTTAAGTCATGGCAGCTTATTTGGCTTCATGCGATGGCAACACTGCCGACTTTCTCGATATTATATTAAGTTGCAGCGAAAATGGAAACTATTCTCTAGTATGTAAGGTTTACTCGAGCCTGATACTTGTCATTAGTAAATGTTCTGTCTCCATTTTTCTCGATACCATATTTAACATGAAGCTGTTACTAAACGTCATTTACTCAATAAATAAGTCGAGTACATGGAAACTACAGAAGGTTGCCTTCCAAATAAGACGAACTGTTAGGCTTTTGGCAGGAATTTTAATTGTTTGTCATTTATTACCAATTGCACAGTGTTTATCGCGTTAAGAAAGTGGAATATCCTTCTAGAACTATAGGCCTAAGAGATTTTCCAGACGAAAGTTCACATAATCTTACAATGAAGATTGTAGACTGACAGACTAAGAATGACAAACACTAAGCTACAAAATCACAATAAAATTATTCACTGATTTTCAGTATGTATTACAGCCATTATCACTAATCAGTATATATCATAATTTAAGTATTTATTACCATGAAGTAATAGGTATCAACTAAAAGTGTATAAGCTATTTTTTTTCTTTGACCTTTTGACACTACAAGCTTCGTAACGAGATGTTTACAAAGCGCAGCATCTGTTCTTTTATGTTGAAATGCTTAATATGGATTGTTCTTATCCTTCTGTATGACAATAAGTTGTCGAGTCGTTTTATTGAATTAGTTACTAAATATTCTTCCTCAAAACCGGAATGTTACCGAAGATGTTTGCTTTTAATTATTTTAATACTATCGTTCCTGTATCGAACAAATATTTGTTATTAAAAAGTGTCTCTAATTAAGAATGTCACTCCTTGATTTATGATATGTTTTTTTATGTATAGCTAATGACAAGTGCCAGATTCGCGTAAACTTATCGCTTAAGCTTGGCGTAAAAGTCGACGCTACGGCTTTCGCTTAGTCTAGGCCTAGGCCTAGGTCTAGATCTAGTCTAGTCTAGTTCTAGGCCCCGTAGATTGTAGTCGCGTGTACATTCGGACGGAGGGCGTCGTACAGACGAGATGGTGCTAGACGCAAGATGGCGGCGAAATAAATTATAATGTTGTATTAACTGTCGTTTTATTATATTCCTAAATGCTTGTAACAATTATTTATAGTAATTTAAGGTGGTCTAAAGGGTTCGCCAGATCGAATCAGTATGTTCAAGGAATCTACATCATTATATAATCTTCTATGGGCTGCCTTCCTATGGGCTTCCCGGGAAGTTATGCAACTGGATCACTAGCTTTTTGGCAGATCGGAGCATCAAGGTCGTCGTCGACGGTGCATGCTCTGATCCTAAATTTGTCAATGCTGGTGTTCCACAAGGCTGCGTACTGTCCCCCACTTTGTTTCTTCTGCATATCAATGATATGTTGCAAATCAGCAGCGTTCATTGCTATGCGGATGATAGCACTGTGGATGTTTCGTACACAGGCCGTGCTAACATTTCTCGGGAAAACGTCTACGAGAGCCGGAACAAACTTGTGTCTGAAGTCGAGACTTTGTTAACAAAAGTCTCAGACTGGGGTCGACTAAATTTAGTCCAATTCAACCCCGATAAGACACAAGTTTGCGCGTTAACCGCTAAAAAGTCCCCATTTGTCGTGACTCCTCATTTTGAGAACACTCCCCTGTCTGTCACAGCTAGTATCGGAATACTTGGCGTCGAAATCTCGAGCAATGTCCAGTTCCGCGGTCAAGTGGAAAGTAAGGCCAAATTGGCCTCAAAGAAGCTCGGTGTGCTCAGCAAGGCGAGACAGTACTTCACGTCGGCTCAACGCCTAAACCTTTATAAGGCGCAAATTCGGCCCCACATGGAGTACTGCTCTCACCTCTGGGCGGGAGCCCCCTGTTACCAGCTTCTTCCATTTGACCGCATCCAACGTAGGGCAGCTAGAGTTATCGACGATCAAGGTCTTTCCGATCAGCTTGATCCTTTGGCTATGCGTAGAGATGTTGGGTCACTCTGCATCTTCTACCGCATCTATCACGGGGAGTGTTCCGAGGAATTGTTTGGATTGATCCCAGCGGCTGAATTTCACCATCGGACATCGCGCCAAAACCAAAAATTTCATCCACACCACCTCGATGTCCAGCGTTCCACAACAGCGCGATTTTCAAGGCATTTCCTGCCTCGCACAACCACTCTGTGGAACCAGCTGCCGCCGGCGGTCTTTCCGAACCGTTACGACCTGGGAACCTTCAAGAAGAGAGCGTACTCATTCCTAAAAGGCCGGCAACGCATTTGTAAGCCCTCGGGTGTTGCAGATGTCCATGGGCGGCGGTGATCACTTACCATCAGGTGAGCCTCCTGCTCGTTTGCTGCTTTTTTCCCATAAAAAAAAAAAAAAAAATATATATATAAATATATATATAATCTACATTATATAATCATATATATATATCCCACATTCTTCAAAAAGTGCCTCCTATCCTGTCCTAAAGGTTGAACAGATAATATAAATTTAACTGGAGAATATTTATTATAATTGTCATTAATGATGATAGAAAATCGTAGCCAGTTTTGACAATATAGTGAGGTCAAATATATCATTATCAATTTGTCAAGCATACGGATCTAAGATGTTAATTTGCACCAGCAGAAAAGGACATTATCGGTACCTACTAAGAATAGTTCTCCTCAGGAGACAGCGCCATCTTTTGATACTTTACTGAACTAATATACTTCCATTTTCTATAGATAGCTTAGGTTGAAAGAATTTTACAGTTGAGTTTAGAGCTGTATTCAACTACAGTTTTCTATTTATCATATCAAAAATTTAATTATAATTGGTATTTGATAACATTGTATAGAAAACTGTAATTGAATACAAGCTTACTGGTTGTTATTTTGGATAAAGTAAATCTATGTGTGCTCGGAATGTTTTCGGATTCTGATACCATTTAACAAGTCATTAACGGCATCTGTTAAATATAAAACTTCAAAAATATAATCAACCTCGTCTTTGCCGCTGTGTGGGCAAGTAAAAAAGTTAAAATGAATGACAATTTGCATGTTTTCAATTTCATATAATTTATTAAAATTGTTTTGCATTTAAAACGTCATCTGTTCTTGATTGATGGAACCATATGGAATGTCAAGCACTATACAATTATTATAAAAACGTATTGACTAACAGTGATTTAGGAAATCGGAAGAACTTAAAGGAGATATATAAATGTCCAATCGGTACAAGGTGGATTTTAAGAGATTTTTATCCCACTTTATACAGCGTGTCGTTACAACCTCGACAATAAATGAACACACATAGT